CAGCTTTGCTGATGTCGGAGTGTTCAAAGAAAAAAAAATTCCTGTATCTGCATCGTGATCCGGAACATCACCAAAATTTATTGGTTTGTTCCTTTGCCCAGTATCCACATGTTTTAAAAATTTCATGACAATCCGTCCACAGGTTTTTGAGTAATGTTGTCCACGGACAGAATGACAGACAGACGGACAGACAGACACACACGACCGAAAATATTACCTCACCCTTGGCGGAGGTAATAACAGACTTGGTTTTGTCCTGTAGAGGTAAAGCCACACAGTAAGGCAAAGAACACAGGTCTGGAGAACTTAAAGACCTTAAATCTCATTCTGCTTTACAGTATTTTTAAGTCATTTGGACCTGACAGATGAAAAAATAAATACTAATTTTTGTTAAATTACCTTCTGTGAGTTTGTCACATTTATCACTGCTGTGTTGACGACACTTGACAAACATTGTCTTATATGTGTTTTACTTTAATTGCCACTTTTAATGTATATAGTTTTATAGGTGCAAATGTCATTATTATCATTTAGAATAATATAATTGTGACATAAAATAATGATGGCCTTAAAGTCTGCAGGTCAGTTGACCCATGGCCTTTGACAGTACATCAGAAACTTGGGGAGGAAGAAAACTAAAACTGGGAAGAAAAATAAATGTTTAGAAAGTATAATTAAGTGGCTGACACATCTTTGAGGAAATGAATTATTCATAGTTTATTTGGTAAAAAAAAATGCATCTGCTCAGAAATATGCTTGAGAGGGAAGGGAATTGGGAAAAGAAAATGTATAATGAAAGAAAAGAAGGGACAGAATAGAAAAGTAGGAAAGGTAACGGAACATTTTTTTACAATAAAACAAAAAAGAAAGTTTTCACTTTTATATCTTCCTGCCTTCTAAATAACTAAATAAATAAATAATGCATATTTAAAAATTTGACAGCAACACTTCCAAAATTTTAAAGAACTGTTTATCACTGTCTTACATCATCAGTTTTAAAATTTCAACACATTTTTTACAGTAAAAATTATATTTATACTAATATTCTATATTTAAATGTAAAAAATGCTAGAATTGAACTGATCTCATGTATTTATTTATGTACTTGGGAGGAGGGTAGAGAWACTATATAAAGTGAAAATAAAAGTTGCTGACATTATTCCACAACCTCAGTCAAATATTAGCGTATCATTCTGCAAAGATAATAGATGTCCTGGTCAAAAGGTTACTTTAAAAAGAAAAGAAAAAAACTGATTAAATATTTATCATTTGGCACTTTTTTTAGCTTCTCTGCCATCTAAAAGCACTGAGGAAATCGGATGGTAAAAATACACCAAATCCTGACTATAATACCTTTATTATAGTGTGTATATATGGCTAGTATGGGAGGATCTTCCTGTTGGACTCATGATAGCTTCTGTGCAGCAATAAGATAATTTCCTGTCAAAGAGGCTTTTATCGAGCCATCACAGTGCTCCATCCTTGTGATGAGACTCCTTGTATCCCTGTCAGCTCTTCCTTTGTGACTGAGCAGTGGGTTAGTGTGTTTAAAATTATTTCAAGAGCCCTTTTATGTACTCTTTATAATACAGATATACTCACAGAGATGCAATTGAGCAATGTCTTGCATTTGTTCATTTGAACAATACCCTTTTGTGCTAAAAGAATCAAAGCATAATTTACCACAAAGCTTTGCAGACATGAATACATTTATGTTTAATGAACGTAAGAAGAAGACATTCTGGAGAAGACGATAACTCAGGCCCTTGAAGCACAGCACCGTGCTGTGATAACCATGTTTTGACAACTTACAAATTGTGGGTTATACCTGTCATCTTCTCTGTGGGGCCAGATGTGTAAAACTGTAAAACTGTAGTTTCATGGCTAAATGAGTGGAAGCATAAAAGCAGTTATTTGCAWATGCACTTTATTTTATTTATTTATTTTTTGTCAGACTTATGAAGCCATTTTCTTTAAATTGCTCTAAAACTAACTGCATGGATGATCAGGAAAAACACAGGGGTTCTCATTTCATTTTTTTAAAATGTGTTTTTCCTGAAAATTTGTACACTTGTTTTTTTTTCTGTGTATGCGTACAGAATCTAAAATCCCTACAACATTTTTTTTAATAAATGTGCTTAGCACAAAAGTAAGAAAATGTTGTGTTTGTTAGATTATTTCTTTGTTGTAACAAGGCTGCTTGGCAATAAATCTTRTAGCAGGCACCTGATTGGCAGCACCTGGAAGCTCAAAACAAGTGTCAATAGCAACATCAAAATAAGCTGTTTGACAGAGAAGATTTGGCTTTTTTTTATGTGCGCAACCCACATACTAAGCTGTTCATCCCATAAATGCATGTTCCTTACAAATGTGGAACCATTTAAAAAGGAAATTAACAGGCTTTCCAATAGTAAAAAAAATATTGCCTAGAAGCATTGTTACAATAAAGAAACATCTACCAAACACTAATTTCCTTACACAAAAAGTGCTGTTTCTAAATACAGTCCTTAAAAGAAACTTACACACGTATAACTGATCAGATGTAGGATATTACTCATTGTTTGTCATAATCAGTCTGCTGAATCTGCTGAATCTTTTGCTCTAATAATACACTCAGGGGTTTGTAGCAGTTTTACAGCTAACCCGTGACAGTTGAGGGAGCTGCATCATCAACATGCACAGAGTGACTCCAGATTGTTTTCTCTGTCTGTGAGAGATTCAAAGGCTCTGGTCAAAACATCCACTAAATCTCATCTAAATTTGGCAAAGAGGGAGGGAAAAATGGAATCTAAGTGTTGCAGGAAATGAAAGAGGCTGCTGCAGAAAGGAAGATTACAAAACCAGCAACTTGTCAGTAGGTCAAGGGTAGATGATGTCACCCATGTTAGACTCTGATAACATTTAATGAACACGGTTTTGTGTGTCTCTATATTTGATATTAAAGAATCACATTCTGGGTCTCGTTTCCTGTATTTCTCATGTATCCACCAAAGCAAACTGACTTGAATAAGCCAGCTGCCCTATTTCATTGTGCTTTATCTGCACAAGGACATGCTTTTGATGTTTCCTCCAAGATGAGTGGCGACTCGTGTAGTAGTGTCAGACGACACAGGCGTAGACTTCTGAGGTCAAACGCACCATTCAGTGGAAAGGCTGTTGGCAGTGATCAAAGAGCACCTCCACTCTGGCACCATGAATGTATTTTTTTTTCATTCCTTGATTTCTTTTAGGTCAAGAACTTCATCTGYTATTATTTCCTAGATTCTCAGTGGGCTTTGATGTGCATCACTGCTTSTAATTCTTATCAGTTAATAAAAATCCTCCTGAAAGCCCATTTTTAAATAAATGTAACAGAGTCTTTACTGTAACAAAACAAACACATGTTCATACAAACTGGAGCTATGATAGTCATCATAGCTTTAGCCTTAAAAAACAATAGCTTTACCTGTTTTTCTAACAAAGTTTAAAACGAAAAATTAGCATTAGAATGTGTGAGTTTTTAAGTCTGCTTGACTTTCTGACATTTACAACCATCTCATTACATTCARATCTTTCTCAGTGGGACATTTTCTTCAAGGAGTCGGTATGCAGGCTGTGATCTGGAAACACTTTGACTTTTGAGAGAAGAAGCAAAAAAAGTCAAAGAGACCTAATCCAAATCAAGAAAAGGGCTCATGCTTCTGTCTCCATTTTTATCATCTCTCCTATCCCAGCAGCAGCTGATTCTGACGACTGTGGATTTGTCCTGCAGCACTGTCCACTTCAATTCACTTCACATAGAAGGCATCAATTCACAAACAAGTCATCTCAGGACACTTTACAGAAAAAGTACAAATCCAACAATGTGCTGCTGAACTTCATTTATTTTATGCCAATGTAGTACACTCGCTCTAATTACTATTCAGTCCACATATTTATTCATTTCATCCCAGATTATTCCAATCATGCCCACTGACTAAAGCCATGAGAATATTTCTGTGAAGGGTTGTGGGGAGATGGTGTATGTTTCCAGCAGTCTTTGGGTGAGAAGCAGGGCACACTTCAGACATGTTACCAGTTCATCACAGATGATCTATATAGAAAGGATCATACAATTGCTTAACAACCTTTTATTTTTTATTTTTTAAGAAAGGGAAAATGATGTACAGTATGTAGCAATAATTTCGGGATCAAGCCTAACTTTTTTTTTAAAGAAAATTATTTGCCGAAACGTTAAAAGCTTGTAGTACACATCCAGTCACTAAGTATTAATTTATCAGATCTAAATGGTAGGGAGTAATTAGAAAAGTTATCACAAATCCTATTTTTATTTTACAGAAAAGAGCACTAAGAATTATTACTAGAAAAAATTACAGCCATCCGTCGAATATATTATTTTATGAATTGAAATTATTAAAATTCTATGATTTGGTCGATTATAATATTTTGCTGTTAACGTACAGAGCTCATAAAGGTGTGTTACCTTCCAACATTCAAACAAATGTTGTTAAAAGAGAGAGCTGTTATTATSTTAAGGGATTCGAAATGTTTGTGAAACCCTGGTTTCGTACGAGCCTGAAGGAGCGATCCACTTTAATCCAGGGAATAAGATTGTGGAACAGCATGGAAGATGAGGTTAAAAATGCCAGATCTTTGTATATATTGAAGAGAATAATAAGAACTACTGTAGTATTCTAAAGAAATATGGAGAAGTATAAGTTAATTCATGCAAATTGCTGTTTGAGTTGGTGTTTTAAATTATGTTTTTAGTTTTTTGTGTGTTTTCAGTTGTTTTGATTTTTGTCGTAATTTACTTTTCTTTTGAACATATTTTGGGTATAAAAAAGGGGCAGATATTATAAAATTTATTCTTCTGCTGCCTTTCGTTTTATTTGATTTGATTTTGATTTTGATTTTGAAAAAGGAGGGAAAACTTCTTTAACCATTTAGTTAAGTTGGGGTATAGACTGATTTATTACCTTTCAGTAATCGAATTGCCTGATGTCTTTGTGTTTTTGCAGTACAAACAGGTTGAGCAGTACATGTCCTTCCACAAACTGCCGGCCGATATGAGACAAAGAATCCACGATTACTATGAGCACCGTTACCAGGGCAAGATGTTTGATGAAGAGAGCATCTTGGGAGAGCTGAATGAGCCGTTACGAGAGGTGGGACAAAGTGTTTGTGTCGTTGTTTGCTGCATRTGGCCTGGTGACGCATTCAAAAACATTCTTTGTTAAATTTGCATGTGCTAACATTTTACTCTACTGTATCTCAAGTAATTGGTAGAGAGTAACAAAAGAGGAATACTCAGCTTACCTTTCTAACGTCCATCTTGTCCGAAATTGTGACTGGTCAATGTACTTTGTGAAATCTTCGCCTCATTTCTGCTTTTTTAACGTTCTTTCCCACCTTTGTTCTATCCGAACAGGAAATAATCAACTTTAACTGTCGAAAGCTGGTCGCGTCGATGCCTCTGTTCGCTAATGCAGACCCCAATTTTGTCACCTCCATGCTCACCAAGCTGAGGTTTGAGGTGTTCCAGCCTGGCGATTACATCATCAGGGAGGGCACAATTGGCAAGAAAATGTACTTCATCCAACATGGAGTCGTCAGCGTACTAACCAAAGGGAATAAAGAGACCAAGCTTTCAGATGGCTCCTACTTTGGGGGTAAGCAAAGGTGGTGCTGCCACCAAAAAATAAATAAATAAAAGCTAAAATGTCACATACACTCACACATCTTGTCCACTGTAGTTTTACTAATTCACACACAAGTTCATAGGAGGGTGTCCCATCATTGAGGTTTCTGGTAAAGTTCCTGAGAGCCTGAACGTGACAGTGGGCAGGATTTCTATCTTTTTATAGTCTAGATACCTCAAGAGTCTCTTTGTTAAAATATTCTGCTCAGTTTGCCTTTCACTCTGCACTTTTTAAAACAATGATTATGCCATCCCACTTCACCTTAAGCAGTTGGTCCAAGTTTGAATTTTAAATTGTAAAGCAGCTGCATTTTGGAAGAAGTATTAGCTATTTTGGAAATGGTCTGTTGTGCACTGCTAGTCCCCTCACTTAAAGTTCAGCTTCATGGTTTATGCAGGACCTTTCCCCTTAATTCACATTTCATAAATGTAGARCACGTCCAAAGGACCAAAACAGCTCTTGCAGTCGGACATATGCATTCAAATGCCACAGAGATCAGGAAACTGTGAAATTACACTCTATATAAAAACTTAACTCTGGTGTGATAACCCAGGCTTGTTATGCACTTAACTTGTGCTATGTTCTTAATCAGGGTCAGATAATGTTCAGGCCTCTCTTGGTCCAACTGAGCCGATGACACTTGTAGGAGACAATGCTGCCACACTGCCCTTACCAAATACCATTTATTTTGACGGCTGACAGTGTATCCTTTAGAATGCGCTGTTAAGTAATTAGAAGTGGTGGCGAAGCATTTAACAGCACATGACCTGGCAGGGAAAAGTTTAATTACGCATTGCCTGCTCAAGTCTATCTCCATGCCCTTTCTCCGCAGGGGTTTTGGAGAAATAATGAAAAGATGGCAGGCAATCTATCGCTACATGTGCCAAAAGCAATCAACACTTCAGACAACATGGTCACGGTTCTCGAAAAGGGTCTTTTCGGATGTCCACAATTCCCATAGCTTAGTCTTGACCATAGCTGTAGAGGGAAAAAAAAACATCTTCAGTGTGCTCGCATTTCTTGTACACGTCTCCTAAAAGTAGCAGAATTTGCCAGCATAAGATGGGACATATTCTAACAATGTCAACTAAATGCAGAAGATTTTTGCATCTGGGTGTAAGCTGCTGACACGTGCAGAAGCATCAAATCCTAAACGTTCATCTTAATGAAAACTCTTGGATCTGTAACTATCTTTTTACAGCTTGTGCAATCTTTGCACAAAGCTTTTGATTTCATTATCCTGCGTTTTTTTTTTTTTTTTTCATTTTCTTTTTCCCAGGCAGTGCCATTTCTCTGAGGGTGTAAGTTTGAGGGGGTGGGGAGTGAGGAAAGCCTAGAGCCACTGGGAGTTTGTTACCAAACACGAGTTAGTCACTCATGAAATTAATTGATGTAGGATCAACACTATGAGTGTGCGGCGCATGTGAGTTTCAGTGTGGCCGTTGGTATCATCAAGCAGAAACAGAAAATCGTTATTTTTATATATCGTGACTTTTTTTGTTTGTTTGTTTGTACAAAGATTTGTAAATCATCTCTGTTTTGATTGCAGTTCCTTGTAAACGTGCGAGCGTGTGCATGCGGAACAGAAGCCCTCCGGCCATAACAGAGCTTTTTTTTTTCCTTCCTGTTTTGTCAACCCCAGTTTACAGTACGCCAAGTTGCATGTGTATCTTCTCATCAGCATCTAAACACACTCGTGTGCCGTTCTGTTCATTCATTCAAAGATGACCTGAATTATTTACACAATTATAGACTCTGCAGTCGGCTACACTTTGTTAGCTGCTGGATTAGCTCGAGCCAGAGAGCCTAAAGTCTAAAGTGGACTCGACATGTCCTGGACGGGCGCGTCGGCTGGGCACACAGTGATCCAGTGAAGAGGGGAAATGTAATGTGACTGCAGCACTCTCGCCAAGGGACACGTGGATTGCTGCCAAGGCTGTTCTCTGGATGCTGCTCAGGGCTGTGAAAGAAAACATGCACCCTCCACCCACCCACTCTCCACTTGCCTCTTTATCTCCTCGTGATTCAGTATTGAAACACTTATCGGAACATCTCCTTCACCCTCTCAGTGCCAAAAACGGAGGAGGTTGTTGTGGTGTTATAGTTCATCCTTTGTTGCGCAGTAGGCCATGTGTTGCCAGCGCAGAGAGTGGCTCTCTCGGGCTTCAAGCAGAGCTCGGTGACCTTGCGGTGGTGCTGCATGCCGTTCGAGGTGTTTATCAAATGCCGTGTTTGATTGAAGCTCTAAGATGTCTCACTTTGGGCTCTGTGTGAGTGGCATGTAGTAGCCCTTTGAGTGAAGTAGGGGAAAAAATAGGACAGTCGAGCAGATGAAGGGGATTGGAAATGGGGCTCGAGATGATGCGCGCTTCGCAATCTTCTGTGTCATCTTCTTGGCTCTACTCGGGTCCTCTGTAAGTGTTGTCACTAAATCCACAGACTTCTGAAATCCTAGGTTAAGAAACCAAGTTTTCCTTTCCTCATTATTTTCATAGAGTTGTAAAATGACCACTCTGGCATTGAGTCAGAGCCTGTTTAGAGCTGGGCAATAACTCAATAAAAATATCGCAACGGACACGTTTTAAAAACCAATAGAAAACAGTAACAGTATGTGATCGACATGTGATCAGTATCCATGGAATATGTGTTTAATAGAATATTGATATTTTCACCGAACTCTGATCCAGAAACTCACGGCATTCTGGGGGACGTAGGCAGAAGGGTTGGGCAATATTGGCAAACAAAGTAATCACGATTAATTGTGGTATTTAGCCGATAATGATTAATTTGACGATTAATTCCTTGGAGTCCCTGGACACCCTTATGTCCTGGTCACATGACCGATTTAGTGGGAAAGATTTGCTCTTCGGAAAAATCCGTTCCAAATTGTGTCAAAATTATAGACTTCAGGCTATACATCAAATTTTAAATTGTGCTGATAAATCAATTACAGAACTTTTTTTAAAATATTCGTCATATTTGAAGCGGAGAGGAGCACCGAGTGGACTCTGCCTGGTGGCATTAATCGTATTAATCGTCAAGTGCCAAAAAGTCATCGATTAATGTTTTTCCGACGATTAATTGCACACGATACGATTATGCCCAACCCTAGTAGGCAGAGGCCCAGCTAAGCTTGGTGGCATCAACTAACTCACTCACTCTTTGCGTCACCAGTTTGGCAGTATTAATCAGCCTTTTTTCCCCTCCTGGTCCATATTCCAAACAAATAAATCAAAAAATAATAATTATCAATATTGACTGATATGGAAGGTTTATATCGTGATACATTTTCATCCATATYGCCCAACCCTAGACTATCCTCCTCTTAACCCATTTAGCACTTTTTCATTTCTTGATTGAGAAAAAGCTTAGTAAGTGAGCAAAATTGGTACAGTATATCATGTAGGCTGTGTATTGGAGAGACTTTGGTGATACGATACATATCATGTCACAGGAATGATATGATAAAATGTGATACTGTAAATCAGGCGATATATTGTCTTTTTTTCCCCAAAAGATTTAATTAAAAAAAAAATATAATATCAAAGAGCACACCATGCATAAAATCTGATTAAATTCTGTTTACTTTTTGCAATCACAGGAGTACTGAACACCAGTGAGAACTGCATTTGTATTTCACATTTCTTCTTCCAACATCCATCTATTAAGTGTTAATTAGGAATCAATATAGTATCAGGAAATGAAATATCTTGATATTTCAGAGTATCAGTATTTCCTTACACCCATAATATCATAAAATATGAAAAATATTTATTTTTTTCATTAAAAATGTTTTGTAATAGAAAACAATATGTTGCAGCTCACTGCTGGACTACTTTATATGCTGTTATTTATTTATTTATTTATTTATTTTGGAAATGCTCAGAATTTTCTGTCCACGTCTATCCTTCTGAAACTAAGTTTTTAAAAGTCTCCACTTTGGAAAGCTTTTTCAAATATAGTTACATGTACACAGCAGATGCAAACGTGGCAGAATATCTTTGTTTTTAGAAAAAAAAATATCCAGAGGAATGTCAACAACAAGAATACTTCATGGTGAAAAAAAATTGCAGCAGTGTGGATTTTTCTCTGCATGTTTCCCCCTCAATTCAGGTTTTGTTAGCATGTAAAAGGAGTACAACGTAATCAATAAAAAAATGTAACACATCTATATTACTGAGAGGCATCAAAGTCAAACAAAAAGTGATTACATAACTAGAAGTTTTTTTCTCTAAACAATCAACATTGCACATTTGTAAATATGCAAAAACGTCTTGAAATTATGTTTTCATCATGTTTGCTCTTTTAATAACCTAATGATAATTAGATTTCAGCTCCGACGGGGAAAAACTAAGATGGTATCGTAGCATTAGCCACAATGCTAACTCCTCTCTGTCTGCACATGCCCACTAAATACAAGGTGTTTGTGTAGTTATGCTAATGCTGTGAAGGAGCAAATGAGCCATGTCAAGGGGAATCATGCAGCCCACTGAGAATGTTTCAAAGGTTAGAGAGTGTCCGCTCCCTGGGCTGGGGGCACCAGTTAGGGAAAGGAGATGGAACCTGACAGCAGGACTCAGAGTCCAGGTGAGCTTCGGCAAACTTGGCTGCAGGACACGAATGCTTCATCACCGTCAAAGCAGCCCTGCATGGATTCATTAATTCACTTTCACGCTCACTTCCTTGTATGGAAGAAGACAGGTGTAACGTTACACACAGACACACACACACACACACACAAATCATTTCTAGCTTTAAAAAGCAAATTCAAATGTTGGCATTTGCATTTGGTCAGATTCATGCACAGCATATTTTAGGCATCCCATGATTAGAGCATGCATGACACTTAAAAAATAACGAATATCTGAACGTTATAAATGATACAGTAAATACAGTAAGATCTTCACTCTGTTCCTTAGCATTGATGTAAATAAAATAGGCTCAATATTTACACATAAATACAATATTTG